CCAGCCTGTGTCTGTCGATGCTGGTCCGTCAGTCATGGCTTCAAGTGCGTGTGTTTAACACGTTACTGTCTTTTTTCTATTTGGAACTCTTCTTAACTTTGGTGGGTTTTAGGAATTGGGCAGAGGAAGAGTTTATGATGTGCAAGTCTATGTGTTATTCTTTTCCTATACGTCTGGTATAGGACTGACTGTAGGATTTAAGACCAGGATAACCAGGACCTGGAAAACACACCGAATAGCGATGTGAAAGCAAAGGACAGAACCAGAGTCTCTCCTGAGTCACTAGTCCCTTCCAACTGCTGCAATGTAAGGTAGCCCCTAAAGCCACCCGGCCCTGAGGGCTTTCTGTGTGTGTGAGTAGTGCCATTTGAGACCAGCAGCACTTGGTGTGTGGGATCTAGCTGAGGGCTTTATGATATCAAGCTGTAAGGAGAAAGCTCTGCGAGGCAACTGGCGTGCTTTCAGCATCTGGTAAGCACCTACTGCGTCCACCTAGCACAACCGCTGAATTCCTGCTTTTATTGAGAGCCCTCCCATGTGTGCTAATGGAATAACACCACTTCACGTGGCTTGCTGCTCAACATACTCATAAAATATTTAATGTTTCGAAAAGGAAGGTGATTCTGGTGACACGCCTTGTCTCCTTCATGAAGCTCAAGAGTACGGGAGGAAAGCAAGCCAAAGGGAATGGTGCTGCTTGTATGAAATTGTGTCCCAAGTTGGCTCTCGTGCTTCTCCACTACCCATCTACAGGGGGAAACCGGTGGAAATTTGTGCATTGGAAGGCACTGAAGGCAAGATGGGGCATCAAACTCCATAAGCAGAGCAGATAAAGAGCCTGCTGGCATACAAGCATGATGCAAAACACATTGGGGATAAGGGAGGAGTATTTAATTTTAAAATAAAATGGCATTAATAAGGCAGTCCTTGGCTAATGTATGAAGCATATTCTGACCTTCAGAGAGCCCAAGTCCGAGTTCCTTGGAACTAGATTTGCTCCTATGACTGCTGATGCATTTCTACTGTGATTTCCAGAAGGCAACTCTTCTGTGCAAGAGCCCCTACGGAACTTGGAGGGTATTCCTTAGATAATAAACCTTTGTTCAGGAGGGAACTTTGTCCTGTAAGATGAATCTCTGTGGTCCAAACTTTGATATGATAAGCATGACCAAGTGTGCGTTACGTAATTGTGAGCTCAGTCAAGAGTCTATTGAAAACATTTTATTTGAACGCAGAAGCGGATGTATCTGCACAGACAGGGAATTTTGATAGAAAAGCAGCTTGTTTATTGATCACGAAAGACAAAAAAATCCTGTTCGGGAGGCAGAGGTGTTGCTTTTCCTTTGAATGTTTGCAAAAAAATCACAGTTAATTAGATTTTGCTGTAAAAACGTCCTTGTCACCAACGCAAATAAACCCATTGCGAAATCCAGGTTGAAAGGAAAAGCCAAGAACTTTGGCATGCGATTCTGCAGGATGGCACTGTATGATGCGCTGGCGCAACTGCTGCAATGTGAATAGGCGGCTTTTAGCGGTAGGATAGATTTATGACAACCGTAGACGTGGGCAAGGACAGATTGTTTTAGCATAGAAGTAGAGTGCGAGCACTCCTGGGGAATGCACGTGGACTTGTGACCTGATTAGTAAACAGGCATGTCCGTGCCAGCCTCAGTCCCGCAGGCGCTGCGCAAGCTGCGCTTCCAAACAGGCTTCCCTGCGCCCAGGTGCCAGGCAGCCTGCAGGTCTGCCAGCTCCCGTTCGCCGGCGTGTTTGTCTTTCTGCTTCCCAACTCCTTGCTGCAAGACCATCACTGTTGGACAACAGATGTAATGAACTTGCTGTCCTTATGTGCATGGCTGTGTGGCTGTTTTTGGATGGGCCAGAGAGCAGGAGCTGGACCTTCTGTCTCCTCGGTGCCGCTCATGCGAGCCAGCCGGGAGATGGATGGGGCGGCTCCTCTTCCTCGCTTTGTCCTTCACCAAGCCTCCTAAAGGCTGGACTCCACATTCCTGGCTCTCCTGGTCACGTTCCTCGAGCGACTGGCAGAGACGGATGTGGAAGGAGTGCAGATTTTCCACCACTGTGGGGATGCTTGCAAACAAGAAACAGAAACGTGCTGTGAAAGCAGCAGCGCTCTCATTCCAGAGATGCTGCTGTTTTTTCTGCCATAGAGAGTACCTGCTCTTTGTCGTCATCGGATCTGACGAGCTGGGGCTTTGTCTGGGGTGATGAAATGCAGCGTGTTGCAAACGCATTTGTAAATCAGTTCACGAGCAACGTGGATGTCTGCAGCTGCATTTTCCCTTCATGCTGGGAGCTCAACCAGTGTCGTTACTTACCTAGAAAGTGTGTGATTTATCCTATTGAAGAATTCCGTAATGCCGATTAGAACTTCTCTGTTCAGTCAGGGAAAGGCATGAAATTGATTCCAGCGAGATACTCGGAAATGATTTGTGCTCTCTTTTCTCTCCATAGGACTGTGTGCTTTTACTGCCAGTATTCCAGAGGGACGCTCACGGAAGAAAAATCAACAGGAATTAAACATTCACATATAAAAGTGTGCGTGTGTTTGCTGCTTCCACACATTAACCGCATGGTTTTTATGCAAAGAGAAAAACAAACAAAAAAAAAAGAGAAAAACAAACAAAAAAATTAATTTAGCATGAGCCAATTTACAGAGCATGGAAATTTCACGTTCATTCCCAGGATTGGAGGGTGCACAGTTACCAATGTAGTGTATATACAAGATGCCATGCTGTTAACAGCTTCTTTCAAGCAGTTTGATGTCATCTCAAAAGAAATAAATTCCTGTGGCCAGAGGGGACGTATGAAGACGAAATGGTTAAACCATGGAAAGACACTAAAATTACTAAAATCCACAACAGCTCGCCTTATTTTTCTTGGACCCAAACTGTCAGGGTATAAAACACTATTTGTTTCTTTTTTAAACATCAATAGTTTTGCTGTAAATAAGTAACACTGTATAAATTCTAACAAAATAGAATAAATGTTGATAAGGCACTGCCTTTTCGATCACAAACAGAATATTGCAAACGCATTGAGCAGGCTAGGTGTCTCAAACGGCTGCACCTACAGGGATATTCTGGGTGTATCTTCACGGATTCTTGTATATTAGCAATTATAATGTTTGTATATGCAAAAACGCTAGCTTGATTTTAAAAAAATCTTTAAAATCTGCTGCAAATTTAAATGATTCCCAAAATGAGGAATTCTGTAGTTCTGTGAAAATTTTTCTTCAGAGTACTAATATTTTGATGCATGTGTTTCACCTTATTTTGATTAAATCTTTTCCAGTTTTGCAAACACTATACCGCAACATGAAAAATAAGATTTTATCTGTAAACACAAAGCCCTTCATCTAATATTTGTTGCTGTTGCCAATTTTTCAATGAAATGACCTAAAACCCATAACATATACAGTAGTTGCATTACGGGGAGGGGGGTGCTATCTGTTCTCGCTTTATAACGGGGGTAATGCTTGCAGCTTTAGAAGTTGGGTTGGTGCTCTGAGGAGCACAAGTTTGGGATATTTTTAAATGAACTGAAGAGAAATTATTAGCTAATAGACTGGCAGCACGCTGTAAAATTATTACTGTATTGTGTACTGGCTATAAGATGTAGAATCTTTCAGTAAGCCAATCATCTGTAATCATCCTAGCAGTGTAATATTAGGTTGTTAAGGCTGCTGTGTTTTAAAGGGCATTTTTATTTGGGTTTTGGTGAAATACTTTAATTTGTTGATTATATTCATATGGAAACAGCATTCATTGATAATAGCTCTAATTACATATGTATGAAAACAACAAACACTGGATGATCTAGTTGATTATTTAAGCATAAAATAAATTGTGTTAAAACTCTTGGATAACGTGTATTTGGCACTGTTCTTGTACCCTCCAGACATGTGGCTTCGCAAAGGCAGCCGTTAACCACCCCTGGCTTCTCGCTGCTTTTCCTCTCCGTTCCTTTTGTCTCATCCACCTCCTCGGCTGCACAGGGTGGCAGGCTGTCTCTAGGTGGGGGAAACGGGAGGAAAATGCAGCAGCCAGCACATCCTCAGCAAAGCTAAGAAAACCGACCTCCTCGGGCACAGGGAAAGGACCTGTGCAACAGGTGCTCGTCTTCAATACGTGTTAACTCTGGACCTCCTTTAATTTCTTTTTTCCCATTGAGAACCAGGAAAAGCACTACTGAAAGCAGGTTTTTTTTTTCCCCAGCGTGTATCAGTGAGACCAATAACCAGTTCACAGCAGATGATGTAAACAAAGTGTACATCTCCTGTATGTTGCATGCACTTCCTGTATATTACAGGCGATGGACCACTATCTATATTAAAATGTTGCCGAAACACCATTTTGCAGGCAGCAGCAGTGCACGTCACTGCTCTGGACCGCAGGCTGCTGCTCGGGTGCAATAAATGGATTTTATTACTCAGGATCCAGTTTTACCTGGCTTTCAAGGCAACGTGAAGATGATGTATTTTACCCCAGCTTGGCACCTGAGGAAGCTCTGCTGTTACAGATCCAACTCCGTCTACTTGTTGTCTGCTGACCCACACAGGAACCGGTCCTCCCCTGGGGTCCATCAGCAAAGCTCCCCGACTCCGGTGGAAAAGCACTTGGCTTCAGGAGAGCGTATCAGGTTGGTCTGTCAGCGTTTCCAAGTCAGGAGGGCTGCCGGCTTTTGAAGCAGTGGCAGTAAATGAAACGGTTTTCATCGTTTTAGTAGCCAGCCTGTGTTGCAATGCCCGTTTTAGCTAGGTCAGGACACCGCTGGTGCAATGCTGCTGGTTCAGGTCCTCATGTCAGAGTCTGGAGGGCAAGTGCTCCTTAGGCTGCCGGAGAACAAACATGTCTTACTGCAGGTCACAGTCCAGCAGCAGTGATCGTACTCCCGGAGACCTCGCTGTCCAGATGCCTCCCTCCTGCCCACGGCTACCCAGATCAGCTGAGTGAAAAATAATGTTCTTAGTGGATGGTGTGTGGATGTATATATTTAATATTATATGATGATTTTACAGTTGGAAGCGAAGGCTGTGGTGACCCACCAGCAGGAAGGCAGGAGCCGCGCTGCAGAAGAGCCTCACTTCACCTCTCTGTAACAGCATCCAAAAGGCAGCATTTCCTTTGGCTCGTCTCTCTCCTCTGCCTGGTCCCCTGTTAGTGCTGATACTGATGAGGAAGACAGCTGGGATTGCACCTGGAATGGGAGTTCTGGCAGAAGCTCTCTGCGTAGGCAGAAAAGTGGGGTTGCCTGTGTGAGTAGCAGAGGTGTGTAGGGGAATCTTAACAGGTCTCCTGCCACTGGTGGTGATTTATGGGGCCCCTTCAAGCTCGTCGAGTTGGTGTTGACCATCACGTTAGCCGTGAGTAGCTGCTGGCTCAACTCGAGGCTCCTGAGGACGCTTCTTCAGCACAGCCCAGCCGTGGGTAGTGCTCAGCGCCCACGCAGGCTGTGACTGTGGCAGATGTGCCTCTCAGGCCACCTGGGCCAGCGCCATATGTGCCCAAGCAGGGTGGTCCCCCATTGCTGGCAGGTCCCAGTCCTCCAGCTCCTGCTGTGCAGGCTGGCCGTGACACCGCTCGCCGCCTCCCATGAAGCTTTGATACAACAGAGACGGCAAAGGTTGGAACGGGAGCTCCGTAGCTAAATTTACAGAGTTTAAAATTTCACAGTAGATGTTGCACAAACAGGGGGTTATGGGTGTTGGTTTGTTTGGCACTGAGTGTATTGATTCCAACAGTAGCTCAGGATATTTGGGAAAAACAAGGTTGAAGTGTAAACGGTCATTTGAGAAGGGAAGCAGAAATCTCGCCTGTACCAGCAAACAGCACAGGCAGCCCTGGAGCCCATGAGGGCTCTAGCTCTAATGTGCACTTTTGTCTTTTTTTTTCACATTTTCTCCAGTGAGAACGTTCCCCTTAGAGGCAAAATTGTAAGTCACGGGACTTTTATTGCATCTATTAAAATAAACTCAATTGCTAAAGACGGCGTTCTTTTCATCCTTTGATATTTGTTTTAGCACTACCTAATAATTAAGCTGCAGAGGATCCTATCGTACTTTTTCCTTTTCTGAAAGAATATCAATTACATTTTATTTGTGGCCAGTAATACTTTTAATGTGAGAAATTTTAAAGAGCTCCCGTAGTGCAGAGCTGACGTTAGTGGGAGAAACGGCAGTCGCTTGCAGGATTGCAGCACCCTGCTAATTAATGCTAATTTCCTGGGGGGTTGGTTAACACAGGCTTTGTCTGTAGCACGCACTGCGCAGGAAATCCAGACGTGCTCTCCCAGGGGCTGCTGCAGCCTGCCGTGTGGGGCACGTGCCCCCAAAAACCTCTCCGCGCCCGCTGTGGAAGGAGATTGTTACCAGGGCTTCTTTGGGTTCAATCAAGTCAAGAAAATGTGATGAAACTCACTGAAGTCCACCAGCAGCGATCTGCACCACGTCACCCACGCGATGACAACAAACTCGGCATGAGCAGCTTGGCCCGGAGGGAAGCAGCCCGCCAGCTCCCTCCCCGGGAAGGGGGTGCAAACTGGAGGGCTGGGGGGTGCCTGGCTGAGGCTGGCACAGGGATGCTGGGCAGGGGATCGGCAAGGGGCTCGTCTTTTGTCCTAGCTACGTGCACGACGTATGGGAAGGCTACCACTGCCCCGTTGCATCCTTGGCCCTGGGGTCACGTGCTGGGATTGCCCAGGGTCGGCAGGAGGGGGTGGATGCAAACAGGACCTCTGTTTTCAGGGCAGATCCCCCAAAGCGGGGCTGGAGAAGGAAGAGCTCCCGGCTCAGCTCCCCTCTAACCCCAGAGTGAGCGAGGGAGGGAAAACACAGTAGTAGTGAGGAGGAAAGTATTCTCACTTTGTTGAAAGCAGAAGAGTTTTCCAATGGAGATGCAGACGCTAGTGTAGGGAGAGGGAAGAAGGAAAAGTTAGACCCAGCCTGCTACAAAGTGCTTGACATAAAAAATAGTCCATTACTGGGAGAGAAAAAGGTTAGTGAAGGACAGAAGAATAAGCTGCTCAAAAAAAATCTACATATGTGCCACTTTTTTCATAACTGCTGATGCTAAAAGCAGTATGCTAATTGTGCATGGCTTTATTTGACCCTAAGTCCTGGAGGAAGGTGAAGATTTATAATAAAAGTTTTATTGGTACTTTTCCCATCACACTAATGTTCAATTATTGAGAGCCATTTGGGCTATCAAACAGCAACGCACAGCGATCCCCTGCTCATCAACTTCCTTGGAAGGCTTCCAGAGGCTGCCTATCATTACGGCACGGCCGGACCAACAGAACCAACCTAGTGCGAACTCTGAAGAAAATTCCCTGGGAGAATAAGGACACAGAAGCAAAGCCCCAGAGCTAAAGATGCCCGAGCTACTGGGTGGCTACTGGACGGCTACCGCACGGCACATTCCCACAGTCAGATACTCTGCCCTGCACAGAGGCTTCTCTTCTAAAACAGGTTTCTGATTAAATAGTTGTTGGTCAGAAAAGCAAAGCAGTGCAGCATTCTTTTTGTCGGAATTGCTTGCTAGAAAACACATTTTATCCTGCACCAATGGACACCTTAATCCACAATATTGGCAAATTGAGGGGTTTTCTGCTCATACAAATATCTTTCAAAGCAAGGTTTCTCCCCTTCAAAAACCCTTCCACAATGGTAAAATCTCCACATATGCACTCCTTTTTCCCCTTTGAATATTGCCTTGTATACAGGTCACAATTTTTTTAAACACCACTTTCATTTATTTTCCTAGCAATGTTTTCCATTAACTGCATTTTAATGTGACTTTGGTTTTACTTTTTTTTTCCCCCCTCTATTTCAGTCGGGTACTCTGAGTACTGTACAGACTTTTTCCTGGGGTTAATTAGCTTCAGTTGGTCTTTTCAGTCTATAACTGTTGAATATTTTAATAAAATTGTATTGTTATAGAAGGTCTTCCAGCTGATTAATGGACCTCTGGAATTATATTAAGGATTACATTCAATCTTTGAACGTACCTCTTCTAAGCCCTCACTCCTAGCAATGCATTTTATACAAATATTTCTACTGATGATGTGAGTTTATGAAGCCCTGTTTCTGGTTGCCTGTTACCTCCTGTAATGATAGTTTCCGTGAATAAATCCCTGCCTTTTCATTGCTGCTTCTTGACGTGAGCATCTGCTCTGCTATTATTACAGTGCCAGTGATCTTTTGAGAGTCTTTATTTGGACCAGCGCCTCCACTTGCCCCCTTAGAATTTTGGGTTTATTTTTTGTACAACAAAAAAATACTGGGGCAAGGAGGATGGGGACCTTGTCCTGCAGGCGCCGTGATGGCGACGGGGTGGTCACGGTGGCTTTTACTGCCACATCAAGCCTTGCAGCCGGGCGAAGCTGTGATGTGGGGCAGCCTCTGTTGCGCGCCCCAAGCCTTTAAAAGGGGGTTTTGCTAATTGTGCTTGTACCACATAGTCATACTTCTTAATTGGTTTGGTTAACATCTTACAGATGTGCAAAGCATGTGCTTTTTTTGGGGTGCTAATGAGGATAAAGTTTTCCCTCCCTGTTTAATCTATTAATTTGGAGTGGTTGGCTGTAATTGTAATTAAATACACGGGTGCGATTTTTTGAACGACTGCAGCGCTGTTATGACAAGAAGGATGCTGTCTCAGATCTAAACATCAAGGACTCCTGAGTTTTCCTCCCACTCCCCCACTGACTCAGTGTTTGTCACTGGGCAAGCACCTCAGCTCCCTACCTCCTTTTCTTGCCTCCCAGGGCTGTTGTGCGAATTAATTAGATAATGTTTCAGCACAGCTTTGAACTGGGGAGCGCTACAGAAGTGCCAAGTTATAATTTATTGTTATGAAAG